GTGTATTTGTTGAATGCTTAGATGCTGAATACAGTGCTGAGGCACATGAGTCTGATCCTTTCTGCTTTGAGTATCAATAAATAAAATATGACAAAATAGTGTGGGAAGAGCTTTCTATAGTGATTTGAGCCAGTTTGTCTTTGAGGGAAGATATGGTGGTGTCAAGTTTTAATCTTGTGGTGTTTCAAATGTATGCTTAACTCCATGGAGATCTCAGCAATATCATTTTAAAACAAGAGAAAAAAAAAGGTTGAAATGTTCTTGCTGAGACTCAAATTTGCTTCACATTATAAACTCCTTTTTCAAATGTGTTCATAGTTTTATTAGCCTTTTGATCAGAATATTTTGTGGCCCATAATTGGAATGTTTTCATATTTTTATTTTATTTTTTTTTATATACCAAGAGTTTTTCAAGCTGCCTTTTACCTTTCCTGGCTTTCTGCTATGAGAAGTTTTCCCACAGCATTTGTGCTGGTGGCTATATGTGGCCTGCCAATGATGTTTCTAGGTTTTTACTATTACAGTTACATTTCAGTCTTGTCTAGATTCTTCATTTCAGTCAAAATCAGATACAGCCTGAGTAAGGGACACAGCAATCTGCACAAACCCTTGATTTCACACAAACCCTCAACTTCTCACAAACCCTCATCCTATTCCCAGTCTTTAAAACTTGAGGCACTGAAGCAGTACTTGCAGTTTGCCATCACTCCAGGCCTGTCTTTCTTACCTCTGGATCATCATAGGGAATAGGTGAGAGCAATTTTCAGACTAAGTGTTCAGCTTAATTACATGTCAAGGACTCCATTGGAGCACAACAGCTTTTCTGGGCTGTCATGACATCTTTGTGCTCATTCTGAACTTCCTGTGACAAGCGATGAGTAAGACTCACCTTGATCCAATCACACTTTCTAATGCCATTTTTTCTTTTAGGCTTGGAGCTTTTTTCTGTTGCAGTGTGTTAGCTCTCTGGGCTTTTTTCTCAGACAGACTGCCACAAAAAGGAGGTAGACCAAGGAGGAGTCATAAGCCATGAAGCTGGGATTTGAGCACGGACTTAATTATTGTCAAAGATCAGAGCTCATTTTTAAGGGCAGCAAGTTTCAAAAAACAGCCCTTTGCTGGCTCTTATGACTTGCTCTTGTGACTAATACTAACCCTGCATGAGGAGTACAGCAGTATGCTTCTCTTGATGACTTCTTGCCTTCTGGCTTTCTAACAGGGTGGAAAACTAAGATAATGCTGCTAATGAGGGTCTTCGGCTAATAGCTGATGCTTATGCTTCAAAGTACTCCTACAATTAGAGCAGGTTTTCTTAACACTGGAACATATCATTTGTATCTAATGAGGATTAATGTCTCCTTGAAATTAGATACTAGAGGAATGTGTGTGTGTCCCTTATCCATGTCAACACCACTACATCTTAACTATGAGCCTAATTGGGTGTAGAGAATTACAAGGAAATGTGCTGGGATTTTCCTAGCATTGTGCATATTATCTTTTTATTACCTGTTGAAAAGTTGTTTGAATAAAAATCTTTTCTTCTCACCGGTAAAAACAGAAACTGGGTAGTCAGACAAATCTAGAGCATCCTTGATACTCTTGGGATGTGAATAGTTTTTGCCTCAACCTAATTAATGGTTATTTATAATAAACATTATAGTATGTATTAATAAAATAGTAAGTGCTAGGAAGGACTAGATACCACACAATCAACAATAAATAAAGTCAAGGTATCTAACAGTATGCTTTGTCAAGCCTTAGTGCTCTTGCACCTTTCTGTAAAATTTCAGGTGTTGACTGCTGTCTCGTGGAGGGAAAAGTGCTTCTCCTCCATCCTCCCCCAACGTGCTAATGCCTTTTGTTACAATTTTCCTAAAAGTGTATTTTTCAGATAATAAGAAGCAATGAAAGAAATACAAACTAGCATGTCATAAAGCAGAAACATACAGTGAAAAAAAAATATTTCTACAATGCATAATCATCATGTCACAGTGTAATATTTATTTGCTATACAAGGCAATCTTGGTGTGTTGAGGGTTTTTTCCTGGAGTTTTAGTGTCCTTTTACTTTACACCTGGTGACTTTAGTTAGTCTTACTTTCTCGTTAATTTTTTGCGTTGTTAGTATAGGCACTGTATATAAAGTATGCAGAAGTAAACAAAAGGAACACAATCCTTATTATTGCTCTTTAGTTTTACAATAAATCGGTCTATGCTATTATCTGTTAAAGTGTATCTAGGTTCACAACCTAAAAATAGAATAATAAAATCATAGAATGGTTTGGGTCAGAAAGGACCGTCAAAGATCGTCTACACTAACCTCCCTGTCATGGGCATGGACATCTTTCACTAGATCAGGTTGCTGAAAACCCTGCCTAATAGAAAATGTCCATTTGAAAACAAATGTAGAATTTAAGTAGATATAATGAAATTAAATGTTATCTCCAAGCACTTAGAAACAGTATTACTGGGACTTAAAGGGATTACATCGCACCTAAAAGAAAATACCTGCCGCAGCAATGATTTTCAATAATGATCAAAATTAATCCTTGGGCTGACAGCCAACACAAATCCTATATATAGTTTAAAAGCTTAAAAAACTGTAGACAGTTAAGTGGGACTCTCCATCAATAGAAGGGTGGTTGTTGGGCTGATCCTACACTCAGAAGCAAACTTCTTGCCACAGACTGGAGTATTGCTGTAGTGCTGACTGAAAAGGGAAAAGAGTAATTTCCCTAAGTCCCACATGATTTTCCTGGGAGTCCTGGTATCTGTGTTCTGCCTCCTCTTAGTTTATGGAATCTGTCTGAGAGGTTACCAGCTCAGGAAGTATAGTTTACCCACTGATGTATAGAATACAAGGCAAGATAAATGTAATGGGTCTGAAGCTCAGAAGACAGCAGCTTTCCATCCATGATTGAAATTTCAATTGTTAAATGAATCCCAACTGGATTTGTCAAAGAGACTACTTGATGTCTCTTGTACAGAGCAGGAAACTGAGTTTCTTGCTATGAAGCAGCATTCTTTTTACAAGAAATATGCAGTTTACATTACATCATCTGCTGAAGATTAAGCATTTTATAGGCATTTGCTTAATGATAGCTTGTGTTGTACACTGTGATGTTGTGATGTACACTGGAAGGTCGTACATGATCTGTTGAAAAACTTTTGAGCATCTGCTTGTACTTTCTGAAAGAATTCTGAATTTTAATTAAACATACAACTACAAATAAGCCTCTTGGGCAGCAGCTTTTCCACCATTCACAGTGTTTCCAAGCTCTGAATTCACAAATACCGAAACACACCCAAAAGTGTGCTGATATTTAAAACCTCTACACCCAGGCAAAGAGTTTTTGAATTTTCTATACTTCGGAAAATGACTATGACGATACGGGTTAATTTTTGATGCCTGGCACATTTGACTCATTTTATGGATTAAGAACCTCCAAGAAGTTAGAGAGGAGTGTGCTTCAGCCACTAACAACAAAAAAGGATTGATTTTTGTCAGGCTTTCTTCTATTGATTGGCAGCTTAACATTTATCAGCTCAAACAGCTTATGGCTGCCATTTTGTGAAGTAATGTTTTAGAGGTCAAGCTAATGCACCAGATGGTTTTGTTTGCATTTCTGAAACTGATCTTTGCTGGGCCATCATTACCTACTTTTACCTGCTTCCAGGACTCAGAACATAATAGACACAGTGAAAAGTAATTATAGAAAGATGTTCTCCCAGCCTTATCCAGAATTTTTGAATAATAATAATATATTTTTTTTTTTTAAAAAGGCAGCAAGTGTGGTCATGACGTCTCTTTTGGTTTTAATCAAAGAATTTAACTATAATGTTGTTGTTTCCTTCTCTGCATGACTAGCAGCCTTTAAATATGAACCTGACTGTCTAGTTAAGCATCTCTAAACATGACCATCAAGTCAAGCAATTTATTTTAATCACCCCAAGACCCAAACATAAGTGTATCCCAGAAATGATTTTATTTCTAAGAGATGTTTGTTCTGACCACATGACTAATTCTTACATTTTAAATGTGTCAGCAACATTTAACATGCTGTTTCCCTATGCAAATTTACCATTTTTCTGTGCCACTGGTGTGAACTAACCAAGCACGAACTCTGAAACAGGGCATAATAATCAAAACTTAAAGAGAAAAAAAAAAATTAAAAGAGAAAATACCCCTTGAGAGCAAAGAAAGATTTGACACTGGAGCCACTAACATCACAATTCATTTCCACAGTTGTGATAACAGTTATAAAGTGTTACCTTGACATATTTGCTACACACTAACCTGCATGGCAAATCCATATTGCTACTCAACAAAGACTTACTGAAAAAATGAGAATTAAGTGTGTGTGTATTGCTTGACAGATGACATTTCTTACAGTTGACAGTTTTTAAAAACACTTGATAACACTGTGCAATCTTTGGCATTGTTTTATGGAGAAAGCCTTGGCTGTTTCCTGAGACCTTATATTTATAATTATATTTTCATTAAACTGAATTGTCTGTCAGCTCCTGATTTTAAAAGTTATTTTCATATTGCAGATGAAAATGTTCTGAACCAACATGAAGGAATGACATGCAAAGTCAAAAGAGAAATGCCTCATCAACTGTAAATAATGCTTCAGCAAATCTGCATTTTAAGGGTAAAGAAGTTATGGAGACCAAAACAGCAAAGCAGATTTCTTACTGCTAACTGGCAGTAACAAAGACTGGCAGAATATAATTCAGCTGTCAATTTTCAGGTGTGGCCAGAATAAGCACAGTTAACAGAGGAAAACAACAGGACTCCCGCAATTGGAATGTGGACCAAATGTTCCTTTCGTCAGGATGAAAATAAACAGCCACAGACAGACTGACAGGCCAGATTTTCAGAGATGCAAAGGGCAACAGGGGTATTTTGTGGGCATATGGCTGTCAATTTTGCACACACTTTTTACAATTACCTTGGAGTTGAGAGGTTTTCACACTTCTTCCTTCCCTTTCTCCTAGGAAACTGATCTCATGACCTTTAACATCTCAATGCACCGCTCTTGGTGGCGGGAACACGGGCCGGGCTGCATACGAAGGGTGGTGCGTCCTTCTGCCCCTGGCATCCTGGAGGATTATTCCTACGTCTCCGTGACAGGCTGCATCATTGACTTCCAGTACCTAGAGGTCATTCACAGCGCTATCCAAATACTCCTCTCTGTAAGTTCAAGTTTCTTTTTGCAGTCGGATTCCAGCAGTCCTTTCGCATGCAGCCTGCTGCTGTTTGGTGTCTTTCTCCTGACAGAGGGATGTAGTAGGTGATGGATGACAGCACAGATTTTTAGTTGGTTTTGATTTTTTAAATATCTCTAATTTTGAACTAGAGAATGATATTCACATTATTAAAATGTGCACTGCTCCTGTCTCACAAAGCTCTGTGCAGCCACAATCTCCATTCTGGCCTTTGATGGAACAGGTGAAAATTAACTCAGGTTCTTGGGTCTCATTCATTGAGACATATACAGCAAAGGAGAGCAAATTAGTTCAAGATTAATTTGGTTAAAGCTTTCTGAAGTTCACAATCAATGATGATATTTATTCAGGCCTGAATGTACATATATTTTACATCGTATATGGCTGTGTTTCTTCCCAAAGTGAGATATGGTTGTAACTCTTGAAAAAGGTCAGAGAAGTATTAGAAATTAAAGTACCCATTTATATTTAACCATGTTGTTTGTTCTTTCCTGAAAGCTCTGCATTATCAGAATATTCCACCTCCGTGATTGGAGTTGCAATACCAGTCAAAAACTGCGAATACAAGAACTCACTACAAAATGCCTGCAGTGCAGGAAAGCGCTGGGCTGGATAAGTTGCTTTGGGAGCAACAGCCCAGTCTTGGACACAGTCTTTCCTTAGTCTGATGGCTGCTTCTGCTTGTGATTAAAAGTTGTTTGGCGTGAGCTGCATGTGATCTTTTAGAAGTGTTAGCTCTTTCTATACAAAGTTGCATGTAGTACGGCGTATCCGAAATAGGTGCACAGAGGTCTGATACACCCCAGATGCCCAGACCTATTCTGAGAATATAAATGCTCGTAGTTTGTTGTCCTAATGATGGTGATCAGTGCTTGTCAGACAATGTGAGAAGAGATGCAGTCTGCAGTCCGCACCTACTAGTCAGGTGAGCTACCTGGTCTGAACAACCAAAGGGCTGGGTATTCCTGGTCTATTTAGTACTTCACACTGTTTTACTGACTGGATGGTAAATATTTCCACTAGCAAAGTAGAAGGGATCTGCATGATAAATCTCACTCATTAGTTTAAATTTACTTTCACATTTTAATGTGGTTTTTTTTTTCAAGATAAGGACATCTCTCTTTTGAAAGAAAATAGTTAGTGTATGTGGCTGTATCTGTCATCCTGTCCAACTGTCTTGAATGAAGTAGTCTGGAAGTTCAAGGTAACTTCTTTTCATTACTAAATGCCTTTTGTAAGATGCTGAGTGCTCTTTCCTTGCCACTGCTTTTACTCAGAATTTGGTCAATTTGTATCTTACATCAGTGATTAATGAACTTCCACTTGACAATCCAGGTCTGAATTAGCAGACTTGGTTAGTGGACCAGTGACATCACATGCACCTGCACAAGCTATGTGTCTGCTCCTGTCAGCTTCTCAGGCATCAGTGATATCACAAACACCTACATAAGCCTTCTCCTGACTGTTGTTCAGTCAGGCAGCAAAGACAGGATCTTTTCCAGTGAAGTCAAAGTTTAATTTTCTTGAGGCCCAGCCCTGTGTATGTCACCATACATTATAACGTTTCTGTGAAAGCAGACCTTGCAGAAGAATTTTGCACACTATATCTGTAAAGCTCAACTGAATGCACCTTCCTTACTCTAGTGAGGGCCTGGTATTCAAAGAAGGTTCTTTTTCCTCTCTTGTCACACAGCATCATTCCCTCTGTTTCATAAGGCTGTCCAAGAGAAACTGGAGTGTGGTTGGTTTAAAAGGAGAAAACCATGACTATTTCCAGTATTACCTTACTTCTATAAGGAAATATGTTTTGTGTTAGAAATTTTTAGAATTTTCTAGATTCTTTGTGATTAGAAGCAAATTTAGAGTTCAGTTGGAATCAGGAACAGTTTTTTCCTCTGCATTTGTCAGTGCAGTACTATTCTGGTCAAAATTTACGAAATGGAAGGAACACAAATATTAGTATTAAAATAATAGAATAAAAACAGTTAATAGATGCAAACTGAAAGAAACATGAAAATGGAAAAGTATAAAAACTATGTAATAATTACAAAGCATAAGATGTAACAGGCCTTCCCTTTCTTATGGAGTAAATGATTGCCTGGAACAATCATAAATAAATTCTGGATACAATTCATTACAATTCATGAAACGAGTTCAAAATGTGCCAGGAACTTGTAAGGCTTGACTGTGAATTAAATAGTTGCCAGTTTCAGGTATTGCTTTCGACTGAAATACACAATGTTAAAATTAAAATCACATACGCAAAGTAAGGTTTTTTTTTTCCAGTGTTAGTATCTTGCTGTCCCACCTGTGGCATGCTATGATTAGCATGCCATGAGTCTGTACTTCAGTTCCCATTCTGAACTGTAATTTAGGATTATTTAATTTTTTCTCACACGGGAGAGAAGTCACCACCTAGATGATCAAATTTGTTGCAGTTTCCTCCCATTTCCTGAGTACTGTTGGCCTGAGCAAGTTCCCATTCATTTTGGATGCATAACTGCTTTCCTAATTGGGGTACCAATTTCAGTTGCTAGTTAAAAGGTCATTGAGTTTGCCTTTTCACAGTACTGAAGAATTGTAGATCCTTCTTTTTCCTTTTCCTAGTATGTAGTCCTAAAAGTAGCTTATTCCTTTTTGGACCTTACAACCTACTTAATTTTCATAACATTTTTATGTAGCAGTGGTGGCGTAACAAACCATTTTACAGTGTAACAAAAACTTTATTGGTATAACAAATCATTTTATCATGCTAACCCTTCTCCAAATGATCAGGAAGGTGCACACTTCCATTTGGAAGGGAGTTAGAGCCTCTGTAAGAAGAAATCCCTCCAGGGGTAAATATTGGATACCTGTGGAGACACATAACTGGCTAGCAGCAGTTCTCCATTTTTCAAAGGTGACTTTTCTCTTTTTTTTTTTTTTTTAACTGGCATGGAATTTTTTATATGCACAGATTACTGCAGCTGGGACTAGATTGGACCCTGCTTCAGGGAGCAGGCTCAACAGCCGTTTCTTTAATTCTGACACAGTAAAGCTCTTTTTGTATTTGCTTTATAGTGGTTTCTAAAAAAAAAAAAAACTATCTTTTCTTGATGAAACAGTCACTTTGCTTCTCATCCTGATTCTGGGTGGCCCTTGAAGTGACTGGAAGTTGAAGGTGTTAAACATTTCTTTCAACTCAGGTGAAATCAAGAGAAATATGAGAGAATGGTATGAAATTTGCAGAAAAGAAGAGACATACCTAAAACCTAGACCTAGAAGGGGTGAAAAAATGTAAGAAAGAACAAACTCTAAACCTAGAAGCATACAAAGCATTTGAACTGTTCAGCATATTGATGCTGACCAAATACAGGTCCATCTGTTGCCTCTTATAAGTGTCAATTACAGAAGCCCCTAGGTGACACCAAGACGTAGAGATGAGCAACACTTATCACAAAAAAAATCCCACTCCTGCAGAGTGGCCTGGTTTTCACTACACTATAAAGTCAGGCAAAGGTGTAATATAGGATGATTAAGAGTATTGAGTCCTTTCCGTTGTGGAGTGAAAAGCAGTGAACATACCTGCCTAAGGTAAAGTTAGGCACAAATCAGTGGAGAATAGCTTATCAGTAACACTACCAAGTGCAAAACATGGCCAGAAAAAAGGTATTATTTTTTACAGAATGAAGCTGTAATATCACAAATGTAGGAAAAAGCACATGTGGAAGCCAAATTTGGAGCTGGATAATGTGGCGACCATGAGTCTGGATGATTCTCCTGCAAGACAGATAGTCTACATCTATACACATAAATTAAGCATGCCAGTGGAACTGGGTACTGAAGCCAACTGGGTCAGAACAGCTCACATCTCTGCTGATGGTCTCAGCCTCCAAAACCAGCCTAATTGGCTCAAGCTACCCAGTGGGAATAATCTGTGGGAGTATTCTCTTGCGCAAAACTGTGCCTGGGAACTGTGTGCGGAGAGTGGTGGCTAGAGCAGGCCAACCTCCCACACACATAGCGGCATGGGCGACAGTGTGCCAGTGCCAGGAACGCTCCCAGGCATGCAGAGGAATTCCCTCCTGTTGATGCAGCTGCACCAGTAGAAGGGGAGTGGGCAAATGTCCAGCCACAATTCATTCCTCAGAGCAGGCTGAGGCAGGAGCTTGCAGGAAGCAGTTAGATAATCTATTTACCTAGAAGGGTGCAGAAGAACATGTTAATTTTTAAATCCCTGCTGGAGAAACTTATCCCCTACATTTTTGACATGGTAGGGAAAAGGATGTTTTCACATGACATCTTGTGGTTACAGTGACATTTATGAGATGCCGTTCGGGGGCATTCTGTCCTATTAAGGTCTTCTACCATCCTAATGAGGGAATGCGTGAGCATCTCCAGCCCTGCATTAAGCAGCATGTCTGTCTTGCGTCCACTGTTGTGCCACCTCAGATGAAGAATGGGGCATAGAGCTGAAACTTTGGCTGGATAAGGATTGAGTTTCTTTGCTGTTTTTGAATGTCCTTTCACTCTTGGATGCATTCTCTCTTGATGTTCAGACAGAAAACAAAGCTGAAAACACCTTGAATTTGGGGTACAGGTCTGCAAGGATTCAGATGTTCTCTATTTATTGTGGGCAATAATTTCATTTATATTTGGCCTTACTCTGGTCTGCAAGAAAGGTTTGTCTTTTACGTAAATGGTTGTGCGAAGATGCTATCAAAAGTAGCGGAGCATGGGTTTGTTTTGAAACGTTCTTTGATGCTGTAGAAACCATTGGGGCCCAAACTGTTAAGAGTTCCAATGTTATTTTCCCCATACACCATCACTTGCATAAGGAAATGATAAGTAATGTGATCTGCTTACATTTCTGAATATCTGTCACAGCCAGTACCTCATACTGACCCTGACCCCACGCAACTACCTCACTTTGTGAATTTCTGCCCTGCTGTCTTCAAAGAATCTGCCAAATATTGGTTATTTAATAT